TTTTTTTTTTTTTTTTTTTTTTTTTTTAAATAGGGTCTTGCTTTGTAGCCCAGGCTGGGGTACAGTGGTGTGATCATAGCTCACTGCAGCCTCGATCTCCAAGGCTCAGGCAGTCTTCACACCTCAGCCTTTGAGTAGCTGAGGCACATGCCGCCATACTTGGCTAATTTTTTTGTATAGACGGGTTCACCATGCTGCTCAGGCTAATCTCAAACTCCTGGGCTCAAATGATTCACACACCTTGGCCTCCCAAAGTGCTGGGATTACAGGTGTGAGCTACCATGACTGGCCTGCATTTAGCTTTTTTTTTTTTTCAATGGAAACAAAATCTCACTCTGTCGCCGAGGCCGGAGTGCTGTGGCACCCAGGCTGGAGTGCTGTGGCACGATCTCAGCTGACTGCAACCTCTGCCTCCTGGGTTCAAGTGATTCTTTTGCCTCAGCCTCCCAAGTAGCTGGGACTATAGGTGCATGCTACCATGCCTGGCTAATTTTTGTATTTTTAGTCGTTATGGGGTTTCACCATATTGGCCAGGCTGGTCTCGAACTCCTGATCTCGTGATCTGTCTGCCTTGGTCTCCCAAAGTGCTGGGATTACAGGTGTGAGCCACTGCGCCTGGCCTGCACTTAGCATTTCTAAATCAACTTTGTTTCTTTGAAACAAGCAGGGCTATGAGTTTGTCTTTAAAATTTATTCATTTCACAAGACCAATGTGGTATAGTGGAGTTAGGACAGTTGCATTCTAGTCCTAATGCTTTTATTTATTTTTATTTTTTTGAGACAGAGTTTCACTCTTGTTGCCTAGGCTGGAGTGCAATGGCATGATCTCAGCTGACTGCAACCTCTGCCTCCCAGGATCAATCAATTCTCCTGCCTCAGCCTCCTGAGTAGCTGGGATTACAGGCATGTGCCACCATGCCCAGCTAATTTTGTATTTTTAGTAGAGACGGGGTTTATCCATGTTGATCAGGCTGGTCTTGAACTCCTAACCTCAGGTGATCCACCCACCTTGGCCTCCCAAAGTGCTGGGATTACAGGCATGAACCACTGTGCTCAGCCTTATTTTTAACATTTATTTGTTTAGTAGAAAGGTTTTTGCTCTGCTCTGTCGCCCAGACTGAAGTGCAGTGGTGAACTCCCCGGCTCAAGCAATCCTCCCACTTCAGTCTCCTGAGTCGTAAGGACTGCAGGTGCATACCACCATGCCCAGCTAATTAAAAAAAACCTTTTTTTTTGGAGACGAAATCGCTCTCTGTCGTCCAGGCTGGAGTGCAGTGGCGTAATCTTGGCTCACTTGTAGAGATGAGATCTTGCTGTGTTGCCGAAGCTGGTTTAGAACTCCTGGGCTCCAGCAGTCCTCTTGTCTTTGTTGCGGGATCTTTAGGGTGTCGCTTTTCTGGCCAGAAACCTCTGTGGTCAGTAGTGCCTTTGCCTGAGTTCTTGTCCTGCATTGAGTTACACAGACAAGTGGAGGGTGAGCAAGACGAAGAGCTTTATTGAGTGTTAGAACAGCTCAGAGGAGACCAGAAGGGGGCAGCTCCTCTCTGCAGGCAGTTTGTCTTATCCAGTATTCAGCTCTCAGCAAAGAGGAGGCCCTGGAGTAGGTGGCTTCTCTCTGCAGGCAGGTCCCCATTGACTTCCTAGCTCTCAGCAGTCAGCATAGCTCCTCTTTCCTCTCTGGTTGTGTGATCTTCTCTCTGTCTTCTGCCCTGCTCTGGCTGAGCCTGAGGCTTTTATGGACCTCGGAGTGAAGAAAGTGCTCCCTGATTGGTTCATGGACTGCTGGAAAAGGCACACAAATCCCCATCTGGTGGGCAGGACTGGCAGTCCAGCCCCTAGCCTTTAAGCCCTTCCTGACCTGAAGATGGGGCCTTATGGGAACCTACTTTCCACCCAGAAGCCTGTCTGCCTCTCTCAGCAGTCCATGGCCCCAGGCTGCTCACACCAAGGTGCACCTGCAGGCCAGCACTGGGCTCTCTATCTCTGCTTGGCCTCCCCTCTTAATGCTTCTCTGTACCCAAATTCTGGAGGGGGCAGAGGCTGCAGGGTGCTCCCCTGATCGTGTGCACAACCCCCAAGACTGTGACAGCACCTGGGCTTGCCCTAACCCCACTCTGTGATTGGAGCGGGTGTTGGGAGCAGAGAGAAGTGGGAGGGGGCAGGCCTTCCCAGGCCCCCATTGGTACAGGCTGCAGAGACACTTAGGTCCTGCACCTGGGAGGGCGGCTGCAGCTGCACCCAGGAGGGCAATGATCCTGCCTGCTCCTGGTCCCTGCCAAGAGCACAGGGAGGCTCAGATCTGCAACTACAACTTGGGTGGCTGCAACACCACCTCGGAGGGCAGGGCTTCTGCCTGCTCCATGGAGCAGGAGGCCCAGGTTTCCAGCAGCACCAGGGGAGCTCCTGCCCTAACTCAGAAGGGGCAGGGCTCCTGCTAGCTCCACGCATCATGCAGCCTTATCCATGCCTTTCTGCTGCAACCGGCATGATGATGGCAGCAAGCCCTCTGGAGCTGCAGCTGCTATCACCTTGGCCTCTCAAAGTACTGGAATTACAAGTGTGAGCCACCATATCCAGCCTCATTCTTTTATTTACTTGGTGTTATGACTGTTCACAAGATAACCACTTGATCTCAGTTTTTAATTTATAAAATGGAGAGCATAATAATTAAAAACTACCTCCTCAATAGGCTTGTCGTGAATAAAATATTAAAAGCAGTTCGTGTCTTCATCACATACACACAAAGGGTAACTGTGTGATGAAGGATATGTTAATTAAGTTCATTGTGGTAATCTTTACATAATATATACGTAAATCATTACATTGCACTCCTTTAGTATATATAAATTTTGTCATTTATACCTCAATAAAATAGAAAAAAAAACCCTAAAGAACAGTTTATAATACAGTTGTAACCCATTATCTACAGGGAATGCATTCTGAGACCCCCAGTGGATGCCTAAAATTGCAGACAGTACTGAACTCTATATATACTGTGCTTTTCCTATGCATATATACCTGTGATGGAGTTTTTTACTTAGGCATAGTAAGGGATTAACAATAATAACTAATAATAAAATAGAACAATTACAACAACATACTGTAGTAAAAATTATGAGGCCAGGCATGGTGGCTCATGCCTGTAATCCCAGCACATTGGTAGGCTGAAGCTGGTGGATCACTTGAGGCCAGGAGTTCAAGAGCTGCCTGGCCAACATGGTGTAACTCCATTTTTACTAAAAATACAAAAATTAGCCAGGTGTGGTGGCAAGCGCCTGTAATCCCAGCTACTTGGGTGCTTGGGGCAGGAGAATCTTGAACTTGAACCCAGGTAGTGGAGGCTGCAGTAAACTGAGATCACACCATTGCACTCCAGCTTAGGCAACATAGTGAGACTGTGTCTCAAAAAAAAAGTACTGGTTGGGCTTGAGGGCTCACGCCTGTAATCCCAGCACTTTAG